GCCTAATTGGGAAGGTCCATATGTTGTCAATAAGGCCTTCTCTGGGGGAGCGTTGATCTTGGCTGAGATGGATGGAGAAAAATTGAGAAATCCAGTAAACTCAGACTCTGTCAAGAAGTACTATGCTTGAAGAAAAAAGGAACAAATAAAAAGATGAAAAAATTAAAAAAAATGAAAAAAAATGAAAATGAAAAGAGAAAAATGAGGGTTGAGATGAAAATCCGCAAAGACATCTTGAAAACAAAGGAAGACTTTGTGATGAAAACCTAAAAAGGCGGCTCAAAGGCATTTTGAGATTAGGCATTATACAACTAAATCTTCTTGAGGGTCTGATATTTTGAGAGAAGCTTCACATCTATAGACATTTGGAAATTCTCGAAGTCCTCCAGACAGAAGCTCAACTCATAGTTATATCAAGTGGATTGATTCAGGAACATTCGTGCTAATGATCCATAAGGACATTTGACTTATGGTTTTAAATTTCCATTATTCATGTGATTGCCATAACTTTGTAATTCAATTTCTTGTCAGTAAATTCGAAGTTTGTTATTTCAAGTCCCAATTTTATTCATTCTTCTTATAAGTAGAATGACATGGCATTAAAAAAGATTTTTGGTATTACTCTAAATTAATACTTCCATATCAGATATTCTAACCATAATGATCGAAAAGATTAGGGTATGACATGGCCAAAGAAAATGCATGTGAGTTGAGAAAGGAAAGCACATTGAAAACACTGATATTTTGATACGCTGACAAAGATGAGCAGTTCAAAAGGAACAGAAAAGGATTTGCATGGGAACAAGAGAAATGAGAATTTGCATAAATAACCCAATCAAAATGTGGAATGCAAACGAAAGGACAAATGACGCATTTAAAATGAAGATTTGCAGGGCCACAAAGTTCATATATTACAATGACATCATGCATACATCAGTAAGCATCTATAAATAGGAGCATGCTCATTTATTCATATTCATTGAAATGCTTTGAATGTTTTGATAGAAATTCAAAGAGAGTCATAACAATTAAGATTCACCGCAGAAGAAGGTGAGCCAATATTTCCAATAGAGAGTTCATAATGAGAAGAACTCATCCGACAGAGGGAGAAGAAGTTCATAATCAGAAAGCTTGTTTGACCTATCACTCGATTCAACGTATTTCAAATCAGTGACACCTCGCTTGAGGGATCAATTTCCAATGGAGAGTTCATAATGAAAGAACTCATCCGACAGAGGGAGAAGTTTATAATGAAATAGCTTGTTTGACCTATCACTCGATTCACGGCATTTCGAATCCGTCACACCTCGATTGAGGGATTGACATTTTAAAAGAGTTCATAATGAGAAAACTCGTCCTAAAGGAAAGTTCATAATGAGAAGAACTTGTTCCTTTCAAGTCCATCACAGAAAGATGGATCAACATTTCCAATGGAGAGTTCATAATGAGAAGAACCCATCCAACGAGGAGAAGAAGTTCATAATGAGAAGAGCTTGTTTGACCTATCACTCGATTCACGACATTTCGAATCAGTGACACCTCGCTTGAGGGATTGACATTTTCTAAAGAGTTCATAATGACAAGAACTCGTCCTAAAGGAGAAGTTCATAATGAGAAGACTTGTTCCTTTCAAGTCCATCATAGAAATAGATGGTCAACATTTCTAATGGAGAGTTCATATGAGAAAACTCATCCAACGAGGGGAAGAAGCTCAAAATGAGAAGAGCTTGTTCGACCTATCACTCGATTCACGGTATTTTGAATCAGTGACACCTCGCTTGAGGGATTGACATTTTCTAAAGTTCATAATGAGAAGAACTCGTCCTAAAGGAGAAAGTTCATAATGAGAAGAACTTGTTCTTTTCAAGTCCATCACAGAATAGATGGATCAATATTTCCAATAGAGAGTTCATAATGAAAGAACTCATCCAACAAGGAAGAAGAGTTCATAATGAGAAGAACTTGTTCAACTTCGCATCAACATTTTCAATGGAGAGTTCATAAGAGAAGAACTCATCCGAAAGAGAGATAATAAGTTCATAATAAGAAGCTTGTTCGACCTATACTCGATTCACGACATTCGAATCAGTGACGCCTCGTTAGAGGAATTGACATTTCCAAAAGAGTTCAAATTAGAAGAACTCGTCTTAAATGAGAAAGTTCATAATGAAAGAACTTGTTCCTTTCAAGTCCACTACAGAAATAGGTGACTCAACATTTTCAGTGAAGATTTCATAATGAGAAGAACTCATCCACGAGAGAGAAGAAGTTCATAATGAGAATAACTTGTTCAATCCAACGACAAAGGAAGAATGGACAAAAACTGGTTGTCTTTTTCATCTTTGCCCTATTCTTGTTAATATAAAAATGTACGAATAGGGGCAGCTATAGACACCTATTTTTGATTGGGATTAAAATATATATTATATTATTTTATATACTATAGTATGATTATTATTATATTATTATTACTAATATCATTTTATTTATATTTTATGCAAGCCAACAAGTGACAATTATAAGTCCAATATACACTCACTACACCGCCCACACCGCCGCCAACTCCAATTTGCCTTTGTGTCAACGATAAGATCTTATCCTCACCAACAGCTCGGGCCATTTCAATCGAACTCATCAAATCACATGCACCAAAGTCAAGAAAAATTAATGGTTTCACCTAACCCATTAACATCATACCAAACGCAAAGAAAATGCAGATGCATCCAAGGAGATTCATGAAGATTTCAACAATAAAATCAAAGAGGAATCGAGCAAAAAAAAGAGAAAAGGGGGAGAGGACTCTGGAGGCCATTCGAACATAAAAAAAAAGAGGATTTCACAGAGAGATTCGGGAAAAAAAAAAAAGAAGTTTACCTTATTTTGGAAGCTCTCGCCGGAGAAGAAGAACCCCATCACAAAGGTAAAAGTTTTAGTTTTTAAAGTTGTAATTTCGAGTTTCAAAGGAAAGGGGTCGGTTTTGGGGATTTTTGAAGGTTTGAAAGTTAAAGAATAGAGAACAAAGTTAAATGAGAGGCGGCAGAGAGAAGACAAACAAATGATATTTAGAGAATTACACATAAAAGGGGTTTCGAAAAGGGTTTCAACGTGTCTTGTAACCTTGTAATATTTTTTGGTATTAAAAAAGTCCATTTATATTGTCTTTTACATAGGCCAATGTAGCTCACATGTTACAATATATATACATTAATAAAAAAATGAAAGAAAACAAAAGCCCTAGTCTATACTCATAATTCAGCCGCCGGTTTTGCTTCAAAAACAAGGAGAAAAGTTGTTTTGAAAAGCCAAATATGTGATGGCATTTAATTGGATCAATTCTTTTAGGTAAATTTTGTTTTATTATCGTTTATAATCCTTATTTTTGTTTGTAATTACACTTCTTCATTACTCATGTTTTGATAATATTGTGAATCATATAATTTAATTTGGAATATTAATTTTGCTTATGCGTATGTAGATTTCAAATTTTGTTAATAATTAATATTGGATTTATAGATTTTAATTGTAACATGCTTTGTCTTTGGTCACTATATAAATAAACTTATGGTTAAATTACTTAAGATTATAACTATTTTGATCTTTCATTTGATCATTGTTTGAGTATCATGTATAGTATTTTGTGGTTTAGTTATATTTTTAGTTGTTGTGTTTTTTTTATTCGTTCATTTTAACCTCATATTCCATGTACGTACAGACCTTAGATTTTAATTAGTTTTGACGTCATTGTTAACATTAAATATTTAATATTTAATGGAACATGTGTGTTTTATTATTAAAGATATTAAATACCCTTATATTTGATACTACTATTTGCCAAGATTTTTATTCGAACATTAGTAATAATTTCATCGTAGAATATGTGTGAAAAACACTACCTTATAGAGGTAGTGCGATTCAATACAATATTTGAACGAAATGGAGAATTTAAAATGTCGAATATTCCATTAAATGACGGTGATTTTATTCTATTTTATGATATTTTATTCTATTTAAATTTAAGTATTGACAATTTATGTTTCTAGATAATCCATATAAATTCAGATATTGAGTTTTACTCGATGTTAATATTTTCGATAAATAGTTGGGAGAATATTCTTTTACATATAAGAAATAGATGAAATAACTTTCTCGATAGATGATTGTTAATATTGAGATTTCTTTTCAAGTTAAAGAATTTTCTCTAATGAATTAATTAATTTGAAGCAAATTAATATTCAATAAACGTATCATATTTAACTTGATATTTAATTCATGATTTAACACCATTTACGACAATGTATAAGCGACACAGTAACTAATTTTGGGCTCTGTGGGGTGCTAATCCTTCCCACGCGTAACCGACTCCCAAACCTGTTTTAATCGAATCTTTGGCAAACGCAGACCAACTTTTGTCTAAAAAATGATTTTTTTCTTAAAATTATTTTTAAAAGATGTTTTTTAGGTATTCGACCTACTTAACTCAAGGCCGATGGCAACTCTTTTCAATTTAATCCAATTTAATTCAAAATCACCCTTTTTTGAAAACTAAAAGTCGTAATTATTTTAAAAATCAAACGATTGTCAACCGAAAAACGGTTACGACAACTTCCACATACATTGGCCACCACTTCCAAAGGAATTAATTTACAATTTTCCCCCTACATCATGGAAGTCCAACTGTTCCCTTTGCTGTATCAAATTATCTCATTAACGGATTGTTGTTCGAATTATTAATAATAGTTGAGAAATAAATTGTGAAAAGTTACAGCTTAAGCGATATTTTTTTCTCGTGGATGGAAGAATTAAAATAATACGGAATTAATTTAATAATTTTATATTGTTCCAAATTAAAACATTAGATCAATTAATCATTAAAATTAATTGTATCTTGTGATTCCTTCCAAAATAAAACAATATATAGTTATATATGATTGTGTTAATTACATTACTAACGAGGCAATTTACTATGTACTTTTTAATATAAGGATAAATTATATTATGCCTCACTCAACTATCTTTTCTCTCCTATTTTGATCATTGAACTTTAAACTTTTCAATTTAATCACTCAACTTTCATATTGCTCATGTTTTGGTCCTCTATGATGACATGGATTATTTTATTAGTATTATCTCTATGGCATATTTTATTATTATTTAATACCGTGGAAGATTTAAAATTAAAGAATTTAGAATAATCTAAATCCATCTCATATCCTAATCTATGAATCATAATCCTTATTCCCGAGATACAAACTTCAAACCCAAATTTTCACTCCACAGTGGCAGAACCTCTGCCTTCCAACAATCCACTTTCACCGGCCAAACAACTTTGGAGTCGGCCAATGAGGTTTAGCGATGCTTCCTTGAGTTGGATCAGTTGAATGCTCCTCTCTCGCAAGGGCATCATCGTTGGTGGCAGCCACGTTTCCATGCACAAAACTGTAAAAATGTCCCCCCACCTGCGCAAAACTGTTAGCGTGGTCGGTGCCACCATGTTTCCATTGTGTTTCCATCACAATATCGCAAAAAGAAACATGTATGACCTAAATGCCCAAAGTATTTGGTTTAGGGATTGGGGGTTGATTTTAGGAGAAGATCGTTAAGGTGAACTCTATTATCTCTATGGTTTTCAGGCCTGTAAACGAACCGAACGCACACGAACGGAGGTATGTTCATGTTCGTTCATTTAATAAATAACGAACATAAACGAACACGAACATAAATGAACAAAATTTTTTTTGTTCATGTTCGCTCATTAAGGAATATAGTTTGTTCATGTTCGTTCATTTAAATGATAAACGAACATAAACGAACATAATAAATTAACATAAACACAACACAAACACAAAAAAAAACTTATTCGAACACAACAATGAATGTAAAAAAGTAACAACAAGAATAACACTTAAATTCTTTAATATAACATGCAACTTTAGAGTTAATTTGTTCGCATACGATAAAACATACATAAATCATAATAAGTTATATGAACATAATAAAGTCTTAAAGTTCAACAAAACATCCAATGGACTTGATCAACCATATTTACAACCTATAGTGCCATTGTCGACAAAAGGTATATCCATTTCAATTAGAAAGTGGAATAACACATTCAGAAAGGCATTAAATTTTTCAAGATATATAAAGACTTGGTTTCTTCACGTTACGAAGTCAAAGTGGCACGTTCAATGAATATCAAAATAACTATAACCACTAAAATGGAACGAGCTGGCAACTATAGCATATTTAGATGATCAAATGCCCTCTTAACTCAACTACAATACCTTGTTCGTCTCAGCAAGTGTAAGGACAGTGAGTTGCTTTAACTTGAGAACTTGATCAGGGACCAATTGAGGAAGGCTGCCACTATTGCCTAATCAAATAGTTTAAGTATAACTTCTCACCCACTAAACATCGTCTATTCTCATTTTTTTAATTTTATTTGTTTTTTCTATTCTTCATTTTCTTTTGTTAATATATAAACAAAAGAGGTTTCTATGTATATCATATGATTACTTTTTTGCTTCTGTTTCCATATAAGCCTTCAAACTCTTTCTTTTTCTCTATATTTTTTAAGATCTTATCATCTCCTAGAGATATTGAAGAATGAGTGAGCAAAAGAAGATTGAGAATTAACACCCTGATTTAGGGGTTAAATTTAAGAAAATATAAATTGGTGGATTTAATTGGTATTTTTGAAAGAAATTGAGGATTAAATTATAAAATTTAAAAGTTAACAGACCAGTTTAAGAAGTGTAGGAAGTTCAGTGACTAAACTCATGGTTTACCCATTTTTATTATGGGATGAATTATAAATCCCAATTGCCGTGCCCACTTTCCAGTTTATTTTCTCAGCTTTCCTCTCCCGGCCAACCAACTTTCAACTTCGATCTACTCGTCGTCCGATCATCGATCGACGAGCCGAAATCACCATTGTGTTCGTTGTTGAGCGAGGAACAAAACCCCTCAAACCTTTTGTCGTGAATCATCGCTGTTCGTCGTTAATTTCAGTCGGAAGTATCGTCGGTAATAATTCGGTTTTAGTTGGTTTTTCATCGATTCACGACAATCGGGTCATCCGTTTACGACACCTCCCGCACCATCGTGTTCCTTGTGCCGTTTCGAGTCCACCGGTGTCCTCCCTTTGCTCCGGCGGCGGTGGCGCGTGTGGAGGTGAAGCGGTCAAAGTTTCCGATTAGTTGAAATCGAGCTCTCCGCGTTCAAAAATTTGAACCGAGCTTTGTAAGTATCTCGAAATCGCTAAAAATAATTTTTAAGATTTTTTCCGTGATTTTTAGGCAGCCGGAAGGGGCCCCACACGCCGCCACTGCGCGTGGGGATGGTTCAAATGACCGGTTTGACCGGTTTTGGTGCATAGTTGACCGGTTTGACCGGTCATAACCCGACCCGAACCCGACCAGTTTACCCGACCTGTTGACCTGACCCGACACGTTGATCCGACCCGTTGACCGTTAACCGTTGACCGGCGTTGACCACTGTTGACCAAAACTTTGATCGGCTTTGACCGGGCATTAAACGACCTTTGACTTCGACCGAGTATACCTATCTTGACATTTTTCGACGTTCCAAATCTGATTCCGCTGTCCGTTTTCGAAATTCGAAATCGAAGGCCTCGAAATTGCCGGTCAAACCCGTTGACTTTGATTTTGACCAAAAATTCCAAATTTCCGAAAAGTCATATTTTATGCTTTCGATATCCTGAATCCGAATCCGAAGTCCGTTTCGCCAAATTCGAACCCGGTAAGCTGTCTTTCACTGATTTATCATCCGATTCGATCCGTTTATCGCAAATAAGCTCCGTTTCTGATATAATTTATGTTGATATGTATCTGAGGAATTATTGGAAGTTGAATTGAAGATCAAAAGCGTTCGAATGGAATTTTTATGGTCGGTCAGTATTGCACGAAAATCGAGGTAATACTTTACTACCTCTTTATGCTTTATGGAACATGTTGATATTGGTAAATGCATGAATAAGATAATGTTGGTCACTTTTATGGAGTTGAATAATTATACACTCGATATGAATGTGGTAGAAATTCGATAACTGATTACGGATCGAATGACTAATATAAGAGATTGAGGAATTGTTAGATTAAATTACAAGTTTGTGATTATTGATAAAGAAATCAGCCCTGTATCTGCAACTTAGAATTTATTTCATCAAAGGTTAAATGTTAAAGGTACTTGGATGAGAAATTATGAGAATACTCTAGTAGGGTAAAATTACGAAAATACCCTTATGTTGTAGGATGATAAGAATTGTTCCTAGAAGTTGGTTAATAACTATGAAAAGACATATTGATCCGATATAACTACTGATGTGCATAAGAAATGTTAGTTTTATTTGGAAATTATGGATAACTGGTTTTAATCCTATGAGAGTTTGTGAATGATACTAGAAGTCTGTTAAGAGAACCGTTTCAAGATCAGAGAGTGTTCAAGAAAAGTAATTAATTATAGGATCTCTGAATTATATTATTTTCGTTAAGAGCTAATATCGAAATTATCTGGTTAAGAAATTACGGAAATGCCCTTAAGAGATAGAAAAAATCTGAGAATGCACTTGACCCGAAAATATCCGAGTTATGAGTAAATACCTGAAGAACAATTTATCGGGGGTGTTCTGTTGTCAGAATTGTTCGAAAGGACTGAAATAAATGATAAGATTGAATTTAATAGTAAGATCAGACAGAATAAAATGATTAAAGTACACTGAATCTATACAATGACCAAAATACCCCTGTAATATAAATGACCCAAGAATACCACCAAACTCAAGAATGATTGGATATCCTCGAGGTCTGAAATGAATGGAATAAAACTGAACACCAAAATTACCAAAATACCCTTATGGCCTATATTATGTAAATGTCTTGGATTAATTAAGGAATCCAAATAAGCATAGGTGTTAGACTACCTTTAAAAGTTATGGAACAAAACTTAAGTGAGTAGATCAACCCTAAAGCTCTGTCAATACCTGAACGACATAGATATTACTGGAATGCGTGTTCGTCTTTTCAAGTTTGGCTCGATGATAATTTTGGAAGTATTCAGCTCAGCTCAACTCTAGATCGCGTTAAGCACTAAGAATTGGATATTTGTCTGACAAATCAACCACGAAGACCGAACTGAACAGAAGTACAATATGTATCTGAAATTTAGAGACGTCCAAATTAATCTGAAAAACTCTGAAGTAATTGGAATGGATTTGACTACTAAGTGAAATAAGTAACCTCAATGACTAAGATTTTAATAAGTGATTTGGATGAGTCTGGAAACGTTAATGAACATACACGATGTACTGTTCTTCTGGATCATGAACTATAAATCAATCACATCAGTATTTCATGATATAGTGGAAGTGTAAAAATGAAATAAATACATTGGAAGATCTATTTATTGATGATTCCGAAGATGATCTATGGATAAGAATTTTTGGTATTAAAGTGTAAATACCCTAGAAGGACACGAAATGACTAGTCGATAAGTATTAGTTATGGGAACTATTCATCTAAGAGTTGTTCGATAATGCGATCAATCGACATAGATTGTTAAGGTTCTGAATCTTTGTTGTTAAGTTGTTCGATTATCCACTCAATTGATATGGATGTAAAAGATCTTGAATACCCTTCTGATTACGTACAACTTCTGAAAACTGTCCGAATAAGATATGATCCTGATAATTCACATTCTGAATAACTAATGATTTCGATAGTTATTGAAATATTCCTATAGTGATCCTAAATACCGACATTCTATCGGTAAACTGAAGATATGTGTTTCTCTGCCTTATAAGATTATCTAGTCCCTCTAAATAATGTTCATAAACTCTGGTGTGTTCCCTACTCACATGAATATTTTATCTGATTTTCGATTTGAATTTTGATCTGATACTTGACATGGATTCTGATCTGATATCTGACATGGATTCTGATCTGATACTTGACTTGGATTCTGATATGTTATTTGACCTGATTTCTGATATGATACTTGACCTGATTTATGTTTTGATTTTTGATATATCCGTTTACGGACGAAAAACGTTTTAATTAGGGGGTATTGTTGAAGGAA